AATAGCTTAGCTGTGATTGGTCTATAAAATGGACCAATCAGGAGCAGGATTGAAAATGGACCAATCAGGAATGGGCACCAGTTTTCCCTTGATTGACAGGTCCTCCAGCGTTGCTCTACTGGAGCCTCTGGGGTAAGAAAGCTACCCCACTTGCCCCAACCTGCGGGTTTCTTTGCCGGCTGCTGCCACCAAGACAGAAGTGGCAGGTCCCCCAGGCCCTGCTCAGCTGAGCTGGCTGGGGTGCCACTTTTCTGGTATCACCTTCACCTGTTATGTCTTGTGCCAGATCAAGTTTTTCCTTTTGAATTTAATTATTACATTTAAGATTTCACTTTTTTAAAATGATGATCCGATTAATGTCATCTCTCTGACAAGTGTAATTTCTGGTGTAAAGGGAGGGGCCTTGCCCGCGGCTTGCCCACCCTCACCTCGAGTGCGGGGAAATGCAGCTGGCTCATTGTAGTGCTGTTAACCAACACACGGATGCTTGCTCCAAGCTTTCTCAAGCTTTACTTGTGATACCTTCATTTATAACCCGCCTTCAGTTAATCGTAACCCGTCTATAAACTTTATCAAATGTCTGTTGTAACCGTCACAAAAAGATGTAATATTCAACGGGCCTTAACAAAAGGCCTAAGTTTTCCCCTAAACCGAACTGGTTTGGAAAAGGCGCTGTAATTTTCATGTAGGGGGGGTCCTGTATTCCGAGAGTAGGAACGTGCTTTTTCCTGAGCTGCCCGCAAGAACTAGGTCTTTGTCACCGCCTGCACAGTGCCACCCTCTCTGACCACAAGAACGGCCCCATCCCAGCCCCTCACCCGCCGGCGCGCACCATGACGGCCGTCGTCAGAAACAAGGTGAGACCAGGGCGGTGAGCGCAGGGCTGGGCCGCTCGAGCTCTGGGACCCAGACGCTCAGAGCTCAGGTCGAGACGCCCACCCGGAGCCGTCTCGGAACCAGCCTCAGCCCGCCTGCCGGAACCCACCGCCCAGGGCCAAGTAGCACCGCTTGGAAGGGCCGGAAGGGGCAGGGTCAACGCTGTGTATTTGCTCCCGGGATACGTCACTTCCATGCACCGGGGGCGGGGCGGCCCAGGAGGCAGAGTCCGATCTCCATCCGGACCCGCGCAGCTCAGAGCCGAGTGGTGGCGGCGGGCGGAGGCCACGCACCTGCATAATGAGCGAGGCGGACGGGCTACGGCAGCGCCGGCCCCTGCGGCCGCAGGTCGTCACCGACGATGGTCAAGTCCCGGAGGCCAAGGACGGCAGGTAGGCCGGGCCCCCGACCATGGCGCTGGAGCCCCGGCTGCAAGGGGCGAGGACGACCCTCTTGACATCAGCGCCGTCAATAACAGTGGAGCCAAGTGCAGTGCACTTGCCCTCCTGTTGAGTCCTCCAAGCATAGCTCGTTTTATCTAGGAGGAAACGGGGTCCGACAAAGCCGAATACGCCGCCGGGTCTTTGACGCTTCAGATGCACCCCGCGCCCAGTGGCGGCGTTATCCCCTGCTCCTGAGGTCAGGAGGCCGCCCCCCGCCGCTCCTGCCCCTCACTCCCACCTGGGCCTCCATAGCGGCTGCTACCTCGCCTGCCCTCGGTGCAGTCCTTCCTGCTGGCTCACCTGATCCCCCGGGGCGCAGCCGCTCGGCTACAGCCCTGCATCTTCTCTGTCAACTGCTCACTTTCCTGAAGGAAGGCCAGAAAAATTGCTGGGTCCTACCTGGTGGACTAGCTCTTCTGCTCCTAACCCTGTCACGCTGCGTGGCCATTCCTCACCAGTGTTCTCGGTGGAGGGGAGAACAGAAGTGACATTGTAGGCAATTTTTATGAGAACTCAGCCTTGCAGGTTTTCCCGATAGGGATGGAGAAACAGAAAACCAGTAGTTGACGCCTAGTAAATCTCAGGTTTTTGGCCTTTGCGTGCTTTCTCAAGTATTCACAAGTTTAAGCATGCTATGTTTTGTTAGCTAAAAACCGAAGTGTAATCCTTAGACTAGATTTCAATGTGAGATATTTAAAATTCACTTTTCAATTTTGTGTTGATAGAAATATTAGAAATATTTATAAGTCGCTAACAGTGTGTCAGGGAGTGTGGTGCAACATACTGAATGAGAGGTCGTTTCCTGGACAGCCTGAATTTACTCACTTTTGATAAGAAGCGATAGTAGAGAGGAGCATCTTGGAGAGAAGATTTTATGGTAGTAGTTGACTCCTCTGAGCAGTGGAAAGTTAGGAAGATGCTGCTGTATATCCTGACTGTAGGATGAGCAACCATCCTGGGTTGCCCTGGGTTTCGGTTTCCAAGGATGCAGGACTTTTGGTGCTCAACCAGGGCAGACCAGGACGAGTTGTTCATCCTACTTACTGTGGATATTGTGAATTAGTCATCTCCCGAAAAGCCTTTTAGAATGGACTTGCAGAGGCTGACAGTGCTTTACTACAGAAACTATGAAAACAAGAAAGTGGAAAGTGGAAGAGCTGCTGGCCCCAGTTTGTCATTAGGTGCAGTGTATTGAGAACCAGGCCATACAGGACCTGAAGGCACCTGTTAGCGGTCCCAATACCTTCCTTTCTGCATTTATTATTGCAGCATTGCAGCTGTGTTTCTTAGTTTTTTTCCTGCAGTTCTGTATTTTTCATTTCTTTCATGATCAGTGCTAGTAGTAAGCTTCTTGATTACCTAAAAAGTTCAGGAGTCAACATAAGTCAGGAAAGTGCTGTGTGTAGTGGGTGAGGTAAAGGAATTTAAAGAAAGTAGGAACAGGAAAGTTTTAGAACAGACTTTAGATGTATTAGACAGCATAAAGGAAGTCTTGGAAGACATAGTATTAAATAAACGAAGAAGGCCACTGGGTTTTAGCAGTGGAAGGGACAGTTAGCAATACTTTGGCTGGTCCTCTGACGCTTGGCATAAAAAGGGTGTTAGCTCTGTTTTACTGATGAGATCCCTGAGGTCTGTGTAGGGGAGGTTTATATAAAGTCAGAGTAGAAGAGAGATGAAAATGAAGACCTGGCAGCTGGACAATGATTAAGAAACATATTTTTAAAATTATGCTTTGGAAATAAGATTTTAATGCAGAGCTTTTGAATTTCTATATTTGAGCTATAATGGAGAATTTGGTTAAATCATTTTATTTAATGGGGACATGGGTGAGCTCAGCACTTTAGCACCATTGTGAGCTAATAATTATGACTTGGGATCAATTTCCCAAAATGCTTTAGAAACTATTGGAAGAGTAATTGTACACTGTGAAGCTGTTCCTTCTCTCTTGGTTCAGTTCCGTCTGGGAAGACAGTCGTTTAACATCACATAGAACTGTTTAGGAGTGAAGAGTGAGTACATTGAGGATTTAATGTATTTTAATGCATTAAATTCTGTATCATTATGCCTTTTTGGCAAACTTCTGAAGGATTCTAGCCTAATTAAAAGTCTCTGTGGTTCGGCACCCTTAGCTCAGTGGTTAGGGCACCAGCCACATACACTGGGGCCTGCTAAACGGCAGTGACAACTACAACAAAAAAATAGCTAGGTGTTGTGGTGGGCACCTGTAGTCCCAGCTACTGGGAAGCTGAGGCAAGAGAATCACTTGAGCCTAAGAGTTTAAGGTTGCTGTGAGCTGTGACACCACAGCAGTCTACAGAGGATGACATAGTGAGACACTGTTTCAAAATAAGTAAATAAAATCAAAGTTTGTGCCAGGTCAGTTTTCCTTTTTCCTCATCAAGATTGAAGGGTAAGGGAGGCAGTGTGGAGAAATGGGAAATCAGAAATCTGGAGTTTTTGTCTCAGCTCTGCTCCAGGTGTGTTTTCAAATGGCTCTTTTAACTTATTCTTAATTCCTTAATTTTTTTCAAAGACAAAATGATGAGTCTAGGATCTCCAGCTTAAAGAAATGTGGAAAATGAACAAATTCAAGGTGGAGTCTTAAACAGACAGAACTTACTGCTGTTCGGCTTTCTTTGGTGGGGATCACCTTGATCTTTGAAGTTGTTGGTCTACCATGGATTTGGGGCCAACAGATTTTCCACAGAAGTCACAGGGCATTTTTGATCTTTTGGAGTGTGTGTCTGTGAGGACTTCAGTCTGAGATTCAAGGCCTGTGTGTAGGAGTTAGAGAATACCCTTTAGACTTGGCTGGTGAAATCACAGGATTTTGTAAATCCTGGGTAGTGCAACAGTAATTATCAAAGTCTGTTGCATTACTGAGGTTGCACTCTTGCCCTAGCGACTGCAGGAAATTTCAGGGTGCAGATGTCCTCACAGTGCTGAATGTTTCTCCAGACTCTTCTGAGAATGCGGTAAATAAGATGATTTCTCAAACTTCCCTTGGGAAGTCAGTCACCAGCCTTCCTGGAGCTGTCAGGAAGGGAACATGTGGCACTTTGTCTCTGGATGGGATAAATACAGTGTCCTTTAGTTAAGTTGCAGTAATGTGGGTGTGCGGAGGTGGAGGGCTATACTCATGGAGAAAAGACAGAGGAATCTTAGCTGGATGAGTTTGCTGTAACCAACAGTGATCAGGGCCTGTGGAAAAGCTCGTCAACCTTGAAATACATGTGGCCCCAGAGCAGGGCACAGGCCATGCTAGTGTCCTGTAAGGTGAGCCAGGAGCTAGTGGCTAGTGGCTGCTGAATCCCCATCATGGCAGAAAGTGTTGTTGGATAGCACTGCTCAAGGAGCTTTGTTGCTGTTTGAGCTCCTTTTTCTAAGACTTGTTGACAGGCCTTTCCAGTAGAGCCTGGACGATGATCAAGTAGGGGTGGGAACTTTCACTGGGAAGAGTTAGATAAAATTAGTGGCTCCCAAGCACAGCCTGGAGCTACCAAACCAGAAGCTCTGGGCCTTGATTGAAGCTGCCCAGGTTGTCTTGTAGTGATGCGAGGGCCACCTGCCTTTGGGAGCACTGCTGCTGGTGGCCTCCAAATTCTCTAGCATTTTACATATGCCATGTCAGTGAGGGGGCGTTACTAAGTCTGGGTGGGACAGCACTTTAGCCACCTCTCACTATAAGCATGCCCTCTCTCAGTCCTGGCAGGACTTTCGTTGTAGACATAACTGAGTCTTACTGTTGTGTGAAGGGGCAACCAGGCATTGAAGTAGAATGTCACAATCTCTGAGTCAGATTACCAAATTGAGATTTTAGACATGGGAGCAGCAGTACAGTAAGGGGGAACTAATGGCAGAGGAGTCAGACAAATGAGAAGCATCTGCTTTAGGTAGAATCTCTTAGGCAAGGAAAAAACAAAGCAGCACTCTGGTCAGACTGTTGTTAAGGATGGGCCTAAGGGGACAACATAGAGCAGCTGCCCCAGAGTGACTGCTCCTCCCCTGGGGGAGGGCAGGTGATTATGTCGGCTTCCTTTAGGGCCAGGAGGACCTTGTTGCCTCTGTACAATGACATCCCATGGTCGCACTGCCAGCAGCCCAGATCTTCAGCACTCACTTTTGAATCTGTCTCTCTTTGGGTTCTGCTTTGAAAAGAATTATACCATCAAAAATGGCTCATTTCTGTCATTTGCACTTTTAACCAGCCCTGCTTTATGTACTTTCTTATTTCTATTGTGTGGGAAAACTTTAGGCCACTTACAGAAATCACTTGAGTTAAAGAGTGCCCCAGCTTCTAGAATGGCTGCATAGTGGAGTCATTGATTTTTTTTTTAACATCTTTATTGAGATATAATTCACATGCCATAAATTCACCCATTTAAAATGTCCAGTTCAAGCTGGCAAGGTGGCTCACACCTGTAATCCTAGAACTTTGGGAGGCCAAAGAAGGAGGAACTCTTGAGCTCAGGAGTTTAAGACCAGCTTGAGCAAGAGCAAGACCCCATCTCTACCAGAAACAGAAAAATTGTGGGCACCTGTAGTTCCAGGTACTTGGGGGACTGAGGCAGGAGGATCACTTGAACCCAGGAGTTTGAGGTTTCTGTGAGCTGATACCATGGCACTGTAGCCTAGGCAACCCAGTCAGACTCTTGTTTAAAAAGAAAAGTCTAATTCAATGGTTTTGAGTATAATCATGGAGTTTCACAACAATTGCCACATTTTAGAACATTTTTTATCACAGTTTACTGTTATTTAGTTGAGGTAAAATTCACATAACATACAGTTAGCCATTCTGAAGCATATGGTTCAGGGATATTTAGTATATTCACAATGTTGGCAAATCACCAGCTTTGGAAATTTCAGAACTTCTACATCACCAGATACACACACTTTGTGCTCAGCAATTCTTCACCCCCAATTCCCCTCCCACACAAACATCCATCAACAGATGAGCAGATAAGTTGTGGTGTGTACATAGTCAATGAACATCCATTAGCAGATGAGCAGATAAATTGTGGTGTGTACATAGTCAGCGAATGAAGGGATGAAGGATGGATACACACTGCAACTTGGATGAACCTCAAAAACATGGTGCTGGACGAAGCCAGTCACCGAAGTCACACACTGTGATTGCGTTTACAGAAAAGACCCAGGACACGCAGATCTGGACATCCTCTACCCTCTCTCACCTTCAGCAGGCAGTGCTGCACATGGTGACTGCAGGCAACGAACCAAAGAACAGGCAAAGTAAGAATGTACCACGCTATGTGCTTTAAGTGAGTGGCCAGGCAGAACCAGTTGTCTTCTGCTTCAGAAATGAGGACGTTCTCAGGGATGGTGTCAGGGATTGCCCAGGGCCTCTGCAAGGGCAGGAAGAACTAACAGTCAGATCTGACTCTGCGCCTGCAGGCACCACCCGCCAAACTCTCCGTCCCTCAGAATTTGTCCATCGTCCCACATAGCTGCTTCCATAGCCACTAGCACATTTGCAGGCATTGGTTATAGCTGCCCTCCACTTCTAGGTGCTGAAAATTCATTTAATTAGACAACTATTAATTATTTTTCTGTGGCTGCTGTGACAAATCACACAAATACTGGTGTAAACAACACAGACTTACTGCCTTATTGTTTTGTAGCTCAGAATTCTCAGGTAGGTCTCACCATGCTAAAATGAGAGTGTCCCCAGGGCTGGGCTTCTGGGGGCTTTGAGGATACTGTCATTCCTGCCTGCTCAGGCTGGTGGTGGAATCTAGCTGCATGTCTTTCATCTGCAAAAGCGGCTCCTCCCTGCCCCCACCCTGCCATACCTTACCTCCACCAACCCCAGTAGAAACAGGTTCATTTTACTTTCTGCCTTATTCATTTCTTAAAATCATGCATGTTCAGAACTGGGCAGGTCATTGAGGTTACCCTGCTCAACACCTCTCACACTGGGGATGCTGTGGCTTTTGCCATGAAGAAACTGGCCTGCAGGTGTTTGGCTGGTTGTTGGGAAGAGGACTGGTGCCCAGGAACAGAGTTAAAGACGTTTAAGTGGAAGAGGACTTTTTGTTTGATTTGTCAAAATCAAAACGCTGTCCTTAAGGCTGTTTGCTTAAGTGTGAGTCTTATTTTTTTCCTTTAAGTCAACATTTCGATGTAGCTCATTATTTTATTTGCTTAAAGTTAATCATGATACCAAATGTTTAGTATTTGAACACATTGTAAGGAAATAATGCTCCTATGATGTTTATTTAATAGCAAGAGGCTAAATGTCATTACTTTTTTACCAGATGAGAAATAACCTATGTGAGGGTTGGTTCAGAGGAATTTTAGTCACTACTGGTCATTGGTACTGACTAAAATATCTCCAAAAAATTCATTCAGGATTCTCAAGGAAGCTTTCAGATGCTCCCACAGCTTTAGGAGTGGTGACTTAGAGTTGTGATTCTACAGATTCCATGTGGATAACTGTCAGTGTCCGCCAGACTTCTTACACCAGGGGGAGTGGCTGATTTCCTTTTGAATTCTTGGACATGGGATCTGAAAAGTCATTGGTGACTTGGATGCTCAGAAGTTGTTGTCCACTCTGTTTGCTTCATGAATTTTTCTCTCTTCCATCCTAAGATTCTAAGGACACATGGTACTGAGCATTGGTGCTTTAAATCCGTACACCAGGAAATTGTGGCTTTGAGAAACACCTGTTTTTTGTGTGTCCTCCATGTTGTTGGAACTCTTTTCTCCCATTACCTTTTGTGTTCAAGTCTTTCAGTTTGCCTTCTTTAAAACTCTGCTAGAGGATTCAAGATCTGGACGATAACTGGTTAGCATACACTGGCAACTGTGGGACTTAAAATAAAAGGAACAAAGGCCTGTTTGCCCATCCTAGCAAACAGTGCTAAAGGTTGATCAGAGGCCACAGGGTTGGCCACCTTGCAGTTGGGAAACTGAGTGAGGGCCCTGCCCCTGTTAAAGGGCTTTTAGCCCAGGAGAGCTTATCACTGTCTGAGGCTCTGCTGATTGCCTCTGTCTGTTCTGTTTCTTGCAGCTCGTTTAGCGGCAGAGTTTTCCGAGTGACCTTCTTGATGCTGGCTGTTTTCCTCATAGTTCCCCTGCTTGGAGCCATGATGCTGTTGGATTCTCCGATAGATCCACAGCCTCTCAGGTGAGCTGCCCACAGTCCTCAGGAGGGGCTGCTGACAAAATGCAGTAGGCTCAAATAATTTCTAGGGAGAGGAGGGTGATTAAATTAAATGATATGAAAGTTTGGTTATGAGACACAGAGCTTTGTGATTTCTTTAGTACCTGAGTTTCTATGTTGAATTAGATGTTTCTGAGAGTTTATGCATGAGATTGTCTCTGTCATTGTTTCAAAACTGCACAAACCAAAAATAAAAACAGAAAATAAGAGAAGCTTTAAGTATTAGAGGTACTTAACCTCAATTCATTTGAATTGGCAAAAGCACACACAAATGGAGGTAAAGTTTAAGTTACTGTGTTTAAATGTTCTAAGTAACTGAGACAGAGTATCACTCTGTCACCCAGGCTAGAGTGCCCTGGCCTTAGCCTAGCTCACAGCAACCTCAAGCTCCTAGGCTCGAACAATCTTCCTTCCTCAGTCTCCTAAGTAGCTGGGACTACTGGCACTCACAATGCCCAGCTAATTTTTCTAATTTTAGTAGAGATAGGCTCTTGCTCTTGCTCACGCTGGTCTTGAACTCTTGATCTCAAAGGATCCTCCAACCTCTGCCTCCACGAGTGCTGCGGTTATAGGTGTGAGCCACTGGCCTGTAACTGGTTTTTAAAATATCCTGTAATTAGTCTTTATTTTTCCTCAGTTACTTCACTGGTGGAGAGGTATGAGTAATGTAGTCCATTATAATTTGAAAAAAATAGTATGTACTTTAGTGGCCCTATGAAATATATTCATGTCTGTAATTACAGGAATACAGAGCCAGGCTCTTATTAATATGATGATTTGCGACTTCAGTGTTAAGCTGGTTGCAAGAGGGTTGTGCAGTCTGACTTAGTAAGTTCCAGGTTCCCCTGGAAATTTCTGATAGAATGAAGCTGTCTGAAGTTTATTTTAAATGCGTTAGTCTATGTAAGACCTTAAAAACTTCAGACAAGAACCATGCCTAATTACTGAGCACATGTAACATGTACAACTGAATAATGTATTGGAATTTTATAAATAAAAGTTAAAGTTTCAGTTCATAAAAAATGTATTCTTAAAGTAGGTACTCAGCTGGATATAAAGACATAAAGAGGGCATAGTTCTGGTCTTAGATTCACACACACACACATTATAATCACCTTGTTTTTGTTGGGTTTAGAATTAGTAAAGGTATAAGGTGCTATGAAAACATAATTATCACAGCACTCTACCCAGGGTGACAGAGTGAGACTTGGTCCCCCCCAAAAGAAATTTATCAGTTAAAGTAAAATTTAAGATAAAAAATAGTATTTTGGAGAATGGATTTTGTCACTGTAATTTTAAAGTCCAACAGGAAGAATAATTCTGCTAGCGTTGAAAGTTGTTATAGGACTTACTGTCAGAAGTATATGTTTTACTACCAGGGCTAACCAGTAAACTCAAAGATAACACATAAGAAATAGCAGTGACCTTTATGGGTGGCTGGGGGCATCAAGAGCAAATGCACACTCAGGTAGGAGCCCCTGGAGACTTGCAGCATCCCACATATCTGACCTCCTGTGGCAGGAGAGAGACAGGACCTCAGAGAGCTGCTTCTCTGAGCACTTAGGAGATCTTCTGCCTGGTCCAGATTGTTTCTGGGCCCATGGGTGGTTTGCTTCACTGTGGTGAGAATCAGTGAATTGATGCAGGCATTTGCACATCTGTGCTCGCTACCTGTGACCCGCTGTTGCCCTGCCATTCTGCTCACACTCACCACTCTCAGAGGTACCCCAAGAGGCACCGTCTTCCTCCTATGGATGTCTTTTTCTTTTTTTTTTTTGAGACAGAGTGTTACTCAGTCACTCTAGGATTGAGTGCCACGGTGTCATAGCTTACAGCAATCTCAAACTTTTAGGCTCAAGTGATCCTCTTGCTTCAGCCTCCCACGTAGCTGGGACTATAGACACCCACCATAATACCTGGAAGTTTTTTAGAGACAGAGAGTCCCACTCTTATTCAGGCTGGTTTCAAACTCAAGCAATTCACCCACCTTGGCCTCCCAGAGTCTTGAGATTACAGGCCTCAGTATAGCCTCAGTTCTCACGGGAGATGGTCAGTGCCCCGCAGGCAGACTTCCAGAGGCACTTCCAACAGCTGAATGGCCCTCCTGCCCTGCCTGCTTCCTGACCCTGTTTGCTGTCATGGCCTCATGCTGCTCCATTTGTAGAGCTGACCAGGCAGAGCAGAAGTCCAGAGCTCTGCTTTTGTCATGGGAGCATGCACCTCCTGCAGACAGGGGCTGCCCCTTCCTTGCTCTTGTTCTGCAGAGAGCTTTAAAGGATGCCATTTTGCTGTTGTCGGCAGCATCTTCCCCAGACCTTGGCTCGTTCCTATTCTGGAACTCTCTTCCTTGCTAGATAGCAGGGTGGGGGAGGGTGTTGGCAGATACTTCTCCCTCCCTCCCCTGGCTGTGTTTGTTGGGAGCCTTCTGTGTGCCGGGGTGGGTGCCAGGGGGCTTGGGATACAGCAAAGAAAAATATAGACGCCTCTGGCCTCTCAAGTGTGGCTCCAGTGGGGATGGACAGGCAGCGAACACAGTGGAAGTGAATTGTATGGTTCCTAAGAGGCCGATGAGTGCCATGAAGACTGGGTTTGGGTGTCTACCATACAACTGGGCAGTCAGAGCAGGCCTCCTGAGGTGGGGAGGGAGGAGCAAAGGGGGCTGGAGGCAGATCAGCCCTCCAGGTGGAGCAAGGAGCCAGTGAGAAGGAGCTGAGGTGGGAGACGCCTGGGCTGGTCAGGACCCAGCAGGGAAGGGCCAGTGTGGGGGGCACAGAAGACAGCAGGAGGAGAAGAGGTGAGAGGGGTGGTGGGCCAGACCATGCAGGCCTGGAAGGCCATTGTGAGGACATGGGCTCCAGGTGAGATGGGGCGGCTGCAGTTGAGGGCTCCAGTTTGACTTGGGTGTGGGGTTAGGAATAGAGTGAAGGGGATAAGGGAGGAAGCAGGGGAGAAAAGATGGTGACCTGGGCGTGGATGGTAGAGAGGGCCTGGAGAGAAGGGGTTCAGAGATGCCTGCCTTTCAAATGTGGCCTCAGCAAAATCTGCTGCTGGGTTGGGAGAGGGAGGGGGAGTTAGGGAGCCAAGGTTGTACGAGGGGGAGGGCCCAGGGGAGGTCTTCAGAGAGAACCTGGCAGTCCCTATGGGTGGTGGGAGGCAGGTGCCTCCAGGTGCCCTCTGTGTGGCTCTGGGACCAGGGCAGTCTCCCCTTGTTCCGTCTGTCCTCCCTGAAGCAGGAGGCTAGGCTGGCAGGTATGAAATGTGGGCTCTGGTTGGCTGTGTGAGTCACTGAGTGAGGGGGCCAACTTGTCTTGAGGCACTAGACGGTGATGAGGATCTGAGTCGTGAGGGGAGGTGATCTCAGGTGACAGGGCTGCATTTAGCCACATTTGTATTTGGTATTTGTTGTGTACTTTGACCTTTTCTGATATCCTAGAACAGTGTTTTTTTAACTTTGTGTTTCTGGGAACTAAGGTTATTTTTGGGATGTGTCCTCTGTCAAAGAACAGGGAGGTGTGCGTGTAGTTGGTCCTCACTGAAGACTTCCTTCGTGACTGAAGACTTCCTTCGTGTATATTTTATACACATCCCTGTAATTTCGTTATTTTGCAGCTTCAAAGAACCCCCCCTTTTGCACGGTGTTCTGTATCCGAATACGAAGTTGCGACAGGCAGAGAGACTGTTTGAAAATCAACTTGTTGGGCCCGAGTCCATAGCACATATTGGGGGTAAGTAAACCCCTAGGACTGCATGATCCGAGCTGGGGGCCTCAGCCTGGCTGTTCTGCAGGGGCAGGGAACAGCTGCAGTGGTGCACTGCCCTGGGGGCTGCACATGCTCTCCAGGCACTCCGTTGGAGTAGCCAGCAGCAGCCCCTCTCTGCTGGCCTTGCCTGTCTGGGTTGCATGTGTTTCAGGGCTGGGTAATTTGGGTCTATTTTTTCCAGCTCTGTGGAACACTTAACTGTGCTTGAAGTGTTGTGAAGGGAAGAGGCAAAATGCAGACGTTTAGCTGACTCACCAAAGTAGGTAGGCATTTCTTGATGGCGCAGATGCAGCTCGGTTTGTGTAGATTCATTTCAAAATGAAGACAAATGTTTCTCGATATTTCTACTGTTTTGTTTTAAAGCTCACTTTGATGGGTACACTTAAGAGTAACCATCTGTGTCACACTTGCCCAAGCCTGAGAACTAGAATTGGGTCTGGTTCTAATGCTTGTGTCTTTAGGAACTGGAGCCTGACATTTTCTAGGCTGTTAAAATGAAAACTAAGCTTAGTGTTGGAAAGAGGATTTCTGAGCAGCTTATTTGGAAACATTGCTTGTCATCCTGAAGTACAGCATGTCATCTGGGCAGCGGCTATGGACAGCATGCCCACTGTGCTTTGCTCTGTTCCTAAGCCTGGTTGGAGGCTGCTGTTCTGGGGTGCTCAGCTTTTTTCCCTTGCCCAGTTCTTGTAGTCTGATGCAGGCTCCGAAAACTGGCCTGTTTCTGCAGTTTCATGGTTGTTGGTAGCAAGGTTAGTGTTTCAGAAGAATAAGCACTTCACGATAGAACTTCTGTTTCCTCTTAAGACATTGACATTAATTGGTAAATGTCATAAATTTTGTATTTTTGGTGAAATAGCAAATATTTAAAACTGGGACTGAGTAGAAATGGAAGTACAAATGGGTGGTCTTTCTTACCTCTCAGAGAGAGTCTTCACCTGTCTTCTCTTCTGTTTCCTCTTAAGACATTGACATTAATTGGTAAATGGTAAATTTTGTATTTTTGGTGAAATATCAAATATTTACAACTGGGACTGAGTAGGAATGGAAGTACAAATGGGTGGTCTTTCTTACCTCTCAGAGAGAGTCTTCACCTGTCTTCTCTTCCACCAGAGTCAGTCCTCACTGTACTGTGTTACAGGCTCTGCCTTTTTTCTCTCTCTATGTTGAGGGGCTGGTTGCTTGGTGACATTTCTGGCTGGGCACAGTTACGATCTCTCTGGCATGCCCCATGGCCTTAAACTGCAGGGAGGCCCCCAGGGACCTTCTGCTAAGTTGTCCTGGGGGCTGGCTGGAAGGTTGTGGCCATGAGGGAGGTGCTAACCTCAGAGGAGTGCTGGGGAAAGTGAGCACCAGGCTTTATTTTGTTTTTAGGAAGACTTTATTTACTTATTTTTAAAATTTGTTTTCTTTTTTTATTAATGCATATTATTTTACATATTTATGGGGTACATGTGAGTATTTGCTACAAGGAAGACTTTATTATTTGTTTATTTATTTTTACTTTTGTTTTAAAACTTTTTTTTTTTTTGCATTTTTTGGCCGGGGATGGGTTTGAACCCACCACCTGTGGCATATGGGGCCAGTGCCCTACTGCTCTGAGCTATTGGCACCGCCCTATTTTTACTTTTTATTTTTTTTAAATTATTTTTTATTAAATCATAACTTTGTACATCAATGCATTTATGGAGTTCAGAGTACTGCTTCAATAAGGAAGACTTTATTTTTAAGAGCGGGTTTGAGTTCACAGCAAAATTGGGCAGAAGGAACAGAGATTTTCTGAAAGAGTTTATCAGCATCCCCCACCAGAGTGTTACATTTGTCATGGTTGATGAACCCACATGGTCTGTAATTTAGAGTTACATTAGAGTTCACGCTTCTTGTTATGTGTTCTATGGGTTTGCAGAAATGTCTAAGGACGTGGATCCAGTGTGATGATGTCATAGAGGATTTTCACTGCCTCAACATACTCTTTGCTCCTTCTCAATTTAACCTCTGGCAATTACTGATATATTTTAATTAATTAATTAATTAATTTTGGTAATGAGGGAGGATACCCAGAAAAAGTGAAGTCTAAAGGAACAGAGGTCTTCTCAAGGAGACCCCAAGGGTACACCTGTGAGGTCCTCCCCATAGTAACTCAGCTCTTAGGAATTTGTAGACTTAACTTCCGGGGACCTGAAAACTAACTCTTGATTCAGCTTTAAAAGCCTGTGGTTCTGTAAGAGCTGAAGCCTGCTTCTCCCACTTGATTCAAAGTGACCAATGAAAAAGGTACCCATGGGCTGGAACTTTTTGACTGGAGATAAAAAGGGAAAGACCAAGCCAGTTGGGGAGTGTAGCCATTTTGAATTCTATGCTGTTCACTCTGCCGGCTGAATTAAAGCCTTCTTCCTCTTCAATACCGTGTTTGAGTGTTCATTCTCTCTATTGGGTCTCATTTTCTTGCAACATTTCTGGTTCCCTGGCCAGGGAGTGAGACCACCCTAGGAGAGAACAGGCTCAGATGCACCTGGTAGTTGTTTCCATCCCTCTGGACACCCACATTGGGGGGGGCTGATCAGCCTGGGCGACATGAACCACTGTGTGCATCAGGGTGGCATCTTGGCCTCCCTGTGTGGACACCTTGACTGGGTGAAGAAAGGACACCCTCGCTGGGTCTTCAAAGAGTCAAACAGCAGCAGAAACTGGCATGTAGGAACTGGCACCTGCACTGGGAGACATCTGAGGCAAGGTAGAACTGGTTTGAGGCCCACCAAATTTGGGTGGAAGTGGGGTCCAATCAACCGCTGGGTGTTAGATCACCCACAGGACTGGTGAGAGGTGTATGAGAGAGTGTGGGTGTGGTGTGACTGAGACTGACTCAGACTGGCAACAATAGACAGAGCTTTGCACCTCCCCCATAGGGTGAAATGGTTGTGTGACTGCCCCATATCCCTCATTTTTACCCCATCTGTGAAGTGTTTTTGGTTTATCTGAGGGAAGGAAATGGAAACACCTGGGGAAGCCCACCCTATTGGGAACTGTGCTGAAGCATTTTGAAAAAAGGACTTATAGGAGACTTGCTGTAACCATGTCTCTGGGGAGATTGAGAACTTTCCTGTGATCAGGAATGACTCAAATGCCGTGTTGTTCAGGTGACTGTGGTACCCTTTGAGATAAAATTAATTTTAAACCTGTTACTAAAGTTCAAATGTTCAAAGATTATAAAACTGCCACCTCTGTAATATTTCTAAATTTGCTAGATTCAACTGTGAGCTTATGGTCTTGATTTTAAGCCTCTGAATTCTGATGTCTAGAGACATCAGACACCTCACCTGGCTGTGGTGAGGCCTAAGGACATATTTCCCAAACTGAGGCCAGAAGCTACAGGGCCCCTTCTTTCCTGCTCCAACTTTTCCCCCTGGCTATTCTGAGAGAACTTGGATGTTCCAGATTTTCTGCTTTCTGTCTCACAGGGCCAGTCCTTGGTAGCCATCTTTGATGCCACATGGCCACATAATACTTAGGGGGACAAGGAAAAGACATCAGAAATGATGCCTATGTTGTTGTTTCAGAACCTTTTTTTGGTAACTTAAAAGCTTAAAGTCATGTTGTTCCTGGAATTTCTTCTTCAGTAGGTCCTTGGTCTCAGGAATTTGAAAGTGAGCCCATAGGCCACAGATCAATGATAAAATGGGATTTTGTAGGACAGAGAGGCATGAAGAGGGAGTGGAGAGAGCCAGCACTTCTGGCGGGGAAGCAGATCCAAGTTGGAGGTCTCCTGCATAGGTCCTTTGTCTAGGGTTAAATATTGGCCCTAAGTGGAATGTTGGCCAGGACTTGATAGAAAAGGACTTTTACAGGCTAAATGAGTATTTTAACAAATGAACGAATGCAATCCCTCCTCTGGGGAAAGGTTATTAGGTCTTTGCAGTTTTTGTCTCAGGGAAAGGATTAGGGTGTGTGTTCCCTATTCAAGGTGGAACCACTCAAAATGTTTAAGGCTGCTTTGTTCATGACCTTGCTGGAGCCCAGAGGGTGTGGCCAGGAAAGGGTGGCTTCTTTGTGCCTAAAAAAGGGGGAGGGGGCTGTCCCTGCCTAGCCCTGAGTGGGAAAATGCTGTATCAATGTTATATTCCATGAAATGTCACTCATTTGTAAAATGTAATAATTTGGTTGTTTTAATTGTCTGGAAAACTGAAACTTTGTCATAAAATAAGATTCTTGCCTTTTAAACCTTCCAATTATCAGTTTAGCCAAGTGAATAATTAACTTCATAGTAAACTGTGATCCTGTCTTGTAAAAAGTGGTTTTTTTGAAAGAAAGAGAAATTAGACAGAAAGGAAAATGGCATTGTGTAAGAAAATGATCTTACACAATGTGTGTAAGATTTTGTCCTGAAACAGAATGGTTATTTAAGAAAATGAAAGGCAGGGCAAACAAGGTTTAGAATGTTTATAAATTGTCTGTTCAGGTTAAATAAAGCTCATAAAAGGAAATTTGTGAAGGAATTTGCATGTGATCCAGTTGACTGTGTATTGGCTTTAGAATCTTATGGCTTGTAATTGTATTTGAACAAAGGTTTTAAGCCTTTGATATGTGACAAACCTTCCAAAATCAAAACTCTAAATTTGGTCTTTTTGAAATATTAAGACCCCTGAAAGTCTGAGAAAACCATGCAATTCTGTCATTTCTTGCCTCACATACTTAGATGCACTGAAGTGAGACATATACGTTTAAGAGTTGTCACATCATTTTGGAGAATCAACCCCTTTATCTTTATGCAATGCCCATCTTTATCCCTGAGAACTGCTCTGCTCTAAAGTCCTTCTCTGAAGTCTGTGCTCTGTCTGAAATTTACATAGCTACTTCTGCTTTCCTTTGTTCAGTGTTACCATGGCATACTTCTCTGCTTCTTTACTTCTTTTTTTGAGACAGTCTCACTCTGTCTCCCTGGGTGGAGTGCCATGGCGTCACAGCTTACAACAACCTCGAACTCCTGGGTTCAGGTGATCCTCTTGCCTTAGCCTCCTGAGCAGCTGGGACTACAGGTGCCTGGCCCCACACCTGGGTATTTACTTTTAATCTGCGTGTACCTTTATATTTAAAGTGGGTTTCTAGTGTGCAACATGTAGTTGGGTCTTGTTTTTTGAGCCACCCTGACAATGCCTGTCTTTTAATTGGTGTATTTAGACCATTTCTGACATGGTGGATTAATATCTACCATGTTTGTTACTGTTTTCTATTTTTTGCCCTTGTTCTTTGTTTCTATTTTTGTCTTTAACCCTTTCTCTGCCTTTTATAGTTTTATTTTTATTTAAATTAAAAAAAATAATGTAGATATACATCTTTTGGGGGTACATGTGATATCTTGATACATTCTTATTATGTGTACAGATCAAATCAGGGTAATTGGGATCTCATCCCCTTAAATATTTCTTACCTTTATGGTGGGAACATTCAAATTATTCTTTTCTAGCTATCTTGAAATGTATAATAAACTATTGTTAAGTATATTGTTAAGTATCAGACCCTACTGATCTAGCGAAGGCTAGGACTTATTTCCTCCTTATAACTGTATGTTTGTGCCCATTCATCAGTCTCTCTTCATCCTCTCCTGCCCTCCACCCTTCCTGGCCTCTGGTCACCACCAGTCTACTCTGCACTTGGTGAGATCCGTGTTTCCAGCTCCTGCTTCTGAGTGGGAACATGCAGTGTTTGTCTCCCTCTGCCTGGCTTATCTCACAGACAGCAACCTCCAGTCCATCTATGGTGCTGCAAATGATGGTATTTCATCATCTTTATGGCTGGATAATATCCCATTGTGTATTTTTGCCACATTTTCTTATGCATTCATCCATTTTGGGGTTCTTGGGTTGATTTAGTTTTTTTGGCTGTTGTGAATTGTGCTGTGCAAACATGGGAGTGCAGATACCTCTTTGATTTCTTTCTTTCTCTCTTTCTTTTTCTTTTTTTTGAAAAAAAAATTCTATCTCTGTGGTTAAAGTGCCATGGCATCACAGCTCATACCAACCTCAAACCCTTAGGCTCAAGTGATTTTTTTGCCTCTGCCTCCCAGGTAGGTGGGACTATAGGCACCCACTACAATGCCCAGATATTTTTTAGAGCCGGGATCTTGCTCTGGCTCAGGCTGGTCTCGAATTCCTCAGGCAATCCAACTGTCTTGGCCTCCCAGAGTGTTGGGATTATAGGTGTGAGCCACTGCACCTGGCCTTGATTTCTTCTCTTGTGGAATATCCAATATCCAGTAGTGGAATTGCTGGATCATATGGGAAAGTTCACTTTTTAGTTTTTTAAGGAATTTGCACACAATTTTTCATAGTGGCTGTACCAACTACATTTCTGCCAGCAGTGGACAAGATTTCCTCTTTCTCTACATCCTTACCAGTTATCTGTTATTCCCTGTCTTTTTGATAAAAAACATTTTCATTTGTAAAATGAAATACAAAAAAAAATTTGTATTTCTCTGATGAATAGTGCTGTTGAGTGTTTTTTAAAATACACTATTAGCCATTTGTATGTCTTCTTTTGAGAAATGTCTGTTCTGCTCTTTAGTCCATTTAAAAATTCCTAGGTATTGATCTTTTGCTATTGAGTTGTTTGAGCTCTTCACACATTATAACCATTAATCCCTTGTCAGATGTGTAATTTGCAAATATCTTCTACCATTCTATAGATTGGCTATTCACTTGGTTGGTTGTTTCCTTTGCTGTCCAGAAGCTGTTTAGTTTGATGTCATCCCATTTGCCTCTTTTTGCTTTGGTTTCCTGTGCCCTGGAGGTCTTACACACAAAAATCTTTCCTCAGACCAATGTGGACTCTTTTCCCCAATGTTTTCTTCTAGTAGTTTCATAGTTTCAGGTCTTAGAGTTAAGCTTTCATCCATTTTGATGGATTTTGTACACGGTGAGACATAGGGGTCTAGTTTCATTCTTGCACATGTGGCTGTTCAGTTTTCCCCTGCACCATTTACTAAAGAGACTGTCCCTTCCCTGTTGTGTGTTCTCTGTTGAGAATGAGCTGACTGTGAGTGTGTGGATTCAATCTGGGTTCTCTCTGTTCTGCTGGACCGTATGCCTGTTTTTATGCTGGTACCATGCTGATTTGATTACTACAGCTTTGTTGTATATTTTGAAGCTGGTAGTGTGATACCTCTAGTTTTGTCCTTTTTGCTCAGAATTTATTTCGCTATTTGGAGACTTTTGTGATTTCACATAGATTTGAGTATTGTTTTTTATATTTCTGTGAATAATGCCACTGGTATTTTGGTAAGGATTGCATTGAATCTGTAAATTACTTTGGGTGGTATTGACATTTTTATAATATTAATTCTTCCAATCCATGAATATGGACTATCTTTCCATTTTCTTATATCCTCTTCAGTTTCTTTCATCAGTGTTTTACAGTTTTTCCTTGTATAGATCTTTCACTTCTTTGGTAAATTAATTATTAGGTATTTTATATTCTTTGTAGCTAGCTCTTCTATCTTAGATTGCTTTCATGATGTCTTTTCAGATTATTTGTTGAAATGCAACTGATTTTTATGTTGATTTTGTATCCTGAAAATACTGAGTTTGTTTTCAGTTCTCTAAATATAAGATCATATTGTCTGTGAACAAGCTAATTTTCTTTCCAATTTGTATGCTCTTTATTTCTTTCTCTTGCCTAATAGCTCTGGCCTTGTATAGTTTTAAACTGAGCATTTTATATGTTCGGTTTTCTTTTCTTATCAATTATACCTCTGCTTTTACTTTTTGTAGTGTTTACACTTGAGTTTACAAGATACATTTAAAAACTATGGACATGGCATGAATTTGTATGTCACCCTTGCTCTGTAGCATTCTAACTTTAGTGTGTGTGCTGCTGAGGTCATCACTTCACTGTAGTTTTCTCCTGCAGAACTCCTGGCTCTTTTCCCCCTTGAGTTGGTATGACAGTGTCAGCAGCAGACATGCACACGAGGTGGCTGTGAGCTGGTGCTCTGAGTTCTGGGGCAGGTTCTCACAGTCTTTCTTACTAACAGGTGCTGGCAGCATCCTTGCTCCAGAGTCAGGACCAGACCCACAGTTGACTCCCCAGACCCCCACAGTTTTGTTATTGTCTGCTTTTAAGGATTTTTAAAATTCCCAGACATCACTTCTCCTTCATCTTTAGAGCTGCCATTTCCCCTCTAGAAAGGAAAAACATAAGCTGGCTTGGCTGTGGAAGCAGGTGGCATGGTCACAGTTCTGAGGCTGACCTGCTGCTCTTCCTCCCTTTTGTACTTTCAAACAGATGTGATGTTTACTGGGACAGCAGATGGCCGGGTCGTAAAACTTGAAAATGGTGAAGTGGAAACCATCGCCCGGTTTGGTTCCGGCCCCTGCAGTAAGTTGGTGACAATCCCCATAACATGTTCTCTTCCAGACATCCAGAAAGATTGTTCACTGGTGGCTTGGAACTGCTTTTGCCTAGAAGTCAGTTTCACCCTGGGAGAAAAAGGGCCCAATCATCCAGCAGATGGAACATGGCATTTGCCAGGTGGTCCCTGGGCCTCATGGTGCCTGAGGGTCGTCCTGCCATCCCAGGTCCCAGCTGGGCAGTGGCCAGGTGCCCGCTGGGTACCTCGCAGGGCCCCACCCATTGCCATTCCCCTCCATTTCTGTCCACTTTTGTGGTCCTTTGGCATTAATGGGTGTGGTCAGGACACTGCTACGTAGAGAAGCAGGTGGCTTTGTCGTAGTTTGATTTGTAAATGGAGTCCCTGCCTTGGTTCCTTAGGAATCTCAGCAGTGTCATTCAAAGTGAAAATACCCTTAAGTCACTCAGATTTTGGAAAATTAGAGTAGAAGAATCTCACTGTTTAAAAAATGAGACTTGTTATTAGTTTTAGGAGCTGGGATATTTTTATAAAAATGGTGCATTTTCATGGTATGATGCAAATGACCACCTTCAAAGGCGCTGAGATGTAATGGCTGTTAACACTTGGTGAGTGACCTCTCAGACATCTTCAGTTCATGGCCACCCACACCACAGAGGCAGAGTTTCCCTCTCTTGCCCAGGCTGGAAATCTTAAGACTCAAGAGGCCTTCCTACCCCAGCCTCTGTAGAGGTCATTACGACAGGTACACACCACCATGCCCTGCTAGTATTTTAAAAATTTTTTTATACAGATGGGGTCTCACTGTATTCCCCAGGCTGGTCTCAAACAGTCTTCTGCGTGTGTCTTCCAAAGTCCTGGGATTATAGGCATGAGCCACTGTGCCTGGCCACAGTTTTATATGATGGGATAATACTCCATATTCAGATTTCATTTTCCTTTTCCACTCCATTTTGGCTATTATCACCCTGCTTGAATCCCTTAAAGTAAGCCCCTGTAGTGAGCACCCCCAGTAAGCACTCCACAGTGAACACCTGCAGAGAGCACTCCACAGAGAGTACCCCAGTGAGCATCTGCAGTGAACACCCCCAGTGAGCACTTCACAGAGAGCACCTGCAGAGAGCACCCCCAGTGAGCACTCCACAGTGAGCACCTGCAGAGAGGACTCCACAGAGAGCACCCCCAGTGAGCACTTCACAGAGAGCACCTGCAGAGGGCACTCCCAGTGAGCCCCTGCAGAGAGCACCCCCAGTAAGTACCCCCAGTGAGCACTCCACAGTGAGCACCTACAGTGAGCACTCCACAGAGAGCATCCTCAGTGAGAATCTGCAGTGAGCACTCCACAGCGAGCACCCCCAGTAAGCACCCCCAGTGAGCCCCTGCAGTAAGCACCTGCAATGAGTATCCCTAGTGAGCACCTACAGTGAGCACTCCACAGAGAGCACCCTCAGTGAGAATCTGCAGTGAGCACTCCACAGAGAGCACCCTCAGTGAGAATCTGCAGTGAGCACTCCACAGAGAGCACCCCCAGTGAGCACCCGCAGGCTGGTTTTATCTCACACCATGGCCCTTTTTCTGTGCACGTACCATGCATTTAGGAAAGGACTATGAGGTTCTCGGACACTGAGGTGGGTGCAGATGGGATCATGGACCTCCTGCTGATTCCTGTCTATCTTCCCAGAAACCCGAGATGACGAGCCTGCTTGTGGGAGACCCCTGGGCATCCGGGCAGGGCCCAATGGGACTCTCTTTGTGGCTGATGCATACAAGGGACTGTTTGAAGTAAATCCCTGGAAACGTATGTGACAATATCTTGTTTCCTTCTGTGATGATTTCAGATCTTTTAAACTATATGAATGTAAGTAGATTTGATAAGATTTGGTAAGTACAGTCTGCTGGAAACTAATGGTTCTTACTTTCTGAACAGTGCTGAAAGCGCTGCCTGCAGATACCAGCTTGCTCTCAACACCAGAAGGCTCCCTAGCCATGGCTGCCTTTGGTCCATGCCCTCACTTCCTCTGGCATTTGTGTCTGAGCCTCAGGGTCCTAACAGGGCTTATTCTGAGAGGGTTCGGCCTCCTCTTTCTGGCCTTATTTTTCTGTGTGTCTCTCTGCATCTCATCTTTTGTTTCTTTTCTGTCTTTTCTTCGTTGCCTTCTCTGTCTCTGCCTTTTCATTTTCTCCTTTCTGTCCCCACTGCTGGTGTCAGTGTCACTAGCCCTTTGCATGTGCTTTCTCCGTGGAGGCCGAGGCCCCTGTTGCGGGGGCACCTGCCATCATATGAGTGTGTGGAGGCCTGGCAGCCTGGGGGCCACTGGCTGTGCAGGGCACTCGCTGCCCTGCCTGGCTTCCTCTCTAGTGAAGCAGGATGATCACAGGGCCTGTCTCCAGAATTGTTGGGAGGTTTAGATGACTTCAGACCTGGCAAGAGCTTAGCACTCAATAAATGTTCTATTATTTAAAAAATGTATTACTGCTACTTTGTTTAAAAGCAGATGCATGGAACATTTTACATTTCTCTCAAGCAAACAAATACATGTAGAATGAAAGCCTTTTACCTAATAGTCTTAAGAGATGTTTTAAAGTCAGCCACAATAAAAGAAAGAGCTCATCCTTATAGAAGGAACTCTGCCTTTAATGAAGTTAGTCTAGTCTCAACTAGACTGTTAAGTCTAAAAAAAATTACCACCTAATAGTTAATACTGATTTTTACAGTAAGAAGGAATAAATCTTCTGATATATGACATGGAAAAGCTCATTTTAGTTTTTTCCTTTTAAATTAGTTATGCTGATTAATATTTTGTAATTTTTGAGAAATAAATTCTTTGAAAGCAAATATTTTTCTTTTTCTTTCCTTTTTATTTTTAACTTCAGGTGAAGTGAAACTGCTGCTGTCATCTGAGACACCCATTGAGGGGAAGAAAATGTCCTTTGTGAATGATCTCACAATCACTCAGGATGGGCGGAAGGTTTATTTCACAGACTCTAGCAGCAAATGGCAGAGACGAGATTATTTGTTTCTGGTTATGGAGGGCACAGATGATGGGCGGTGAGTGCTTCAGGTCATCCACTCAGCTCACCAGCCAGGTGGAGTGCTTCTGAGCATATTATTTCAGCTGTTAGAATAGGACTGATGTCGTCTGTGACCAGCCACCCTGAACACACCCCATCCTCTTTGCTCGGAAGCTAAGCAGGACTGGGTCTGGTTAGTACTTGGATAGGAGAATAGGGCTAATGGCAACAAAATGGAGCAAGATGTTCTCACTTTTCCTTAAGGAAATAAAATAGCCAGTCCACTGAGGGTATGGCCCTATGTAACCAGGAGAGATCCCAGAGGCATACCTGGGTTTCAGGTCACCCCTCTGAGACTCCAGGATTCCCTCTCTGGTGCTGACCCAGCTCCCAGGTCAGCAAGCGGACTCTCTGGGATGCTCTGGAGGGGACCTAGTCCCTCGCCACTCCAGCATGAGGCTGAGTCACCTTCCACAGGCCCAGAGCTCAAGCTCTTCAGGAGGCCATGGGCTCACCTCCATGTGACCCCCTCTACCTTTGGTGTTCCACAGGCTGCTGGAGTACGATACCACCACCCAGGAAGTGAGAGTTTTGCTGGATCAGTTGCGGTTTCCTAATGGGGTCCAGCTGTCTCCTGGGGAGGACTTTGTCCTGGTGGCAGAATTGACCATGGCAAGGATACGAAGGTGTGTGATGTCATCTGAGCTGTCAGCTGTGGCCATCGCATTGGTGGTGTGGGGTGGTGAGTGGTGTGGAGTCTGAGGTGCAGCAGGGCCCTTTGCTTTGTGTAGTTAGGGCAAATGTAGAATTCAAGAGTGTTTTCTTTCCCTCTTTCCCAGCTTACTAAGAGTGGCAGTCTAGGACGATGTGTTGATTTAATGCTGACTGTATAGTCTGGGTCCCATCTCCCTGCTGGGTGGGCCTTGATCCCTCCCTGACCTGCTTCTCTGTTCATGTGGTTCCAGGGCTCCTGAGGACTTCTCAGCACTGCACCTCCACCAGCAGTTAATTTGGATTAAAACCAATTTGGTGCTTGACTAAAAGCTTTTCCTTCAGCTGGGGGGCTTCTGTTCACTGCTGGGGTGAATTTTTCAGAGTCTACGTGTCTGGCCTGATGAAGGGAGGAGCTGACCTATTCGTGGAGAACTTGCCTGGATTTCCAGACAATATCCGGCCCAGCAGCTCCGGCGGGTACTGGGTTGGCATGTCGACAATTCGCCCTAACCCTGGGTTTTCCATGTTGGATTTCCTATCCGAGAGACCCTATATTAAAAGAATGATTTTTAAGGTAACTATAAAAACTGTAATTCTGAAAAACAAAATGAAAAGGAATTTAATCATGATCTTTTGTCGATCTTTGTAGCCCTAAAACTTCTAGTTCTGTTTCTAATATTTCATACTTTTAATGACTACTTAAAACCTTGTTTCATTTTTCATTGTGAAATGCAGTTTAAATATTCACGTCCCCTCCTTATTTTTCTTTTTGTTTCCCTCGTTCTGGGTGTTTTTACTGTCACTCTCACCATCAGCACCCCTGGGGTCTCTACTCTGCCTGTCACTTGCTTTTCCCTCTTGGCCCTGGCTGTTCCAGGCCTCCTCCACCTACAGATCCTGTGACTGTCCCCCACCTGCCTACTGCCACCTCCCCAACGTCAGCAGGTGCAGTTTCTCCCTTCCCAGAGCCACATGTGTCAGCCTGCTCATCTCGGCCTCCCCACACTCATCCCTCTTCACAGGCTCTGCCCTTTGACCTCCTGACCAAATTCTTTCCTATTAAAAGCCACTCCCCAGTGGCCAGTGATAGCTCCTTCAACACAGCCTTTGAGCATTCTTCTTCTGCCACACTCCCAGGGACATCCCTGGAACACTGAATGTTCCAAGATTTAGCTCAGAGTATCTCTGCTGTGGGTAACTTGCTGACGTAGGTGCTGGTGTAATGCAGAACTCTTCCTCAGGAAGCTCTGTTTAGTAGGCAGAACAGACGTGTGACAGTAGTACTGAGTGTTTGAACAGATAGGAAACTGTTTGTAACATGAGGCCCTGATGAGAACCACAGCGGTCAGGGAGTCTGCTGCTGGGCTGTGTGCTTGGATGGCTCTGGAGGCCACACACACTTTCTCAGTCAGGCCATGGCCTGCTGTGAAGTCAGTTCAGTAGGTCCTGGGGAAAATCCCAGTGTGTTCAGAAATCTCTTCTTTCTTTTTGCCTTATTGGCTCCAGAGCCAGCAAAGGTTCCTACTGGGACCTAGGAGGAAGTTCATAGCAGTGGCCAAAGACAGGAGTCTTGGAGAAGCACAGACCTGCTGGGGGACACTGAGTCGATGATTTTGGCTCTCTGCCTCAGTTGTTCCATCTGTGAGATGGGAAGAATAATGGCATCTGACTAGGTATTGGGAAGATTTAATGAGAATATGCACATAGCACCCTTAGCTGAACTCAGTTTCTGAAACTGCCGGTTTTCTGGCAGCGGGGACATTATGCCACTGCTCTTTCTCTGGCTGTAGTCTATGCCTCTGCCCCCCACCAGTGTGTGTGTCATCAGGTGAGGTGTTCACTGCTGTGTCTTCTGCACTGGCAGCAGGTCTGGCACGTGGTAGTGCCAGGAAATGCTGCTGAATGAGCTGGTGTTCAGAGTGGGGACTGTGAGTATGAGATAGGGCTGGCTGTCCCCAGCGGTGGGACATGAGCACATGTGGGTGGGGATCCTACAGCAGGAGGGGTCCTAGGGAGGTAGGAGAGAACCACAGGCCACGTGAACTTGGGAATAAATTAGATATCACAGAATGTTATCCAAGTCACTGAAGTTCGTCTTTAAGTTCTGAGACACTATCGCAGTTATGGGAGGGTAGTGAGAAGGTTTAGGAGTTGGTGTCCCTGAGCTGCCTATAGCTAGCTTCTGACCAGTGCCCCACCATGACTCATGATACTTTTGTGCGTGTTTCCTGCAACAGGGATGTCCGCTCCGCTCCCTTACCCCGGGTCTGGCTAGGAAGTCCACAGACACCCACTGCTGTCCAGTCCACAGGCCCCTTTTGGTTTCTGTGTTTGCCCCCACATTGTCCTTTATAACAAAAGGATTTGATCAAGGACCAAGAGTGGCCTTTAGTTGCCTTCTTTATTCTCTGGAGAATATTCAGTTGCTCAATCTTTTCTGACTTTTTTTTTTTTGAGACAGAGTCTTACTTTGTTGCCCTTGGTAGAGTGCTATGGTGTCACAGCTCATAGCAACCTCAAACTCTTGGGCTTAAGTAATTCTCTTGCCTTAGCCTCCTAAGTAGCTAGGACTACAGGTGGCCACCACAATGCTCAGCTATTTTTTGGTTATTGTTGTCATTGTTGTTTAGCTGGCCTGGGCCAGGTTTGAACCGGCCAGCCTGGATGTATATAGCCGGCACCCTAACCACTGAGCTATAGGTGCCAGGCCTCTTTTTGGACTTTTTGACCTTGATCCTTTGGAAGCTTCCAGGCCAGTGGTGTTGCAGTTGCAGAATGTCCTTCCATTGCATTTTCCTGTGACCAGGTTTGGGCTATGGCAGAAGCAGCACAGCAGTGATGGTTGTTCCTTGTACGGCACAGCTGGCAGGAGGTACCTGATGCCACTTTGTCCCTTTATAAGTGGTGGCACCTTTGATCTCCTGGTTCAGGTGGGAATGCCAGGCTAACCTGCTTGAAGTTACCCTTCTGCTGGTGATTAATGGGCATCTGTGAGGAGGTACTTGATGACTGGTTCGCCACCAGCACTTCTCATGGTTCCCCAGCTGACCAGTGGCTATTCTGTCGCTGTCAATAGTATTTGTGTTGATGCTCTGATCGTCCCTGATGGCTAGAAGGGGCCCTGCAGTGTGGTTCCTGGGCCTTTGCCACTTTCTGTCATTCTCTACTGGTTCCTTGCTGTGTGGTACACAAGTTGATGCAGGCTGTGCTTGGATTGTCCCTGCCCCAGCTCTGAAATCGGCTGTGTCTCAAAGGAGCCCTGGTTCTTCTGAGGACATCTGGGTGCTAAGGGCACCCACTGCTGTTGGCTGGCCTGAGCTCCTCAGGGGACAGTGCTGGGTTGTGTGTGCATGTAACATGGATGCATGCCTGTCTGCACACATGCTGTGCACACATACTTATGCCTACATCTCTCTGTTTAAATTGAAATCCATAAATTCAGGCTGCATCATCAGTCCCAGTTTAACACCACGGGGTTTATTCTGGTTTTATATATTTCTCCCCATATTTGTACGTCCTTCTCTAGCAGTGAGCAGTCTGGACCCTGTGACCCTTCCTGGGCTTACCTGTTTAATCAATTCCCCAGTGTAGCTGGGCTGTCTTCTTCCTTCCCTTCAAGGGCTTCAAGGGCTCTGACACTCTGCACTTAGCTGTGCCTGGGTGAACAGGGAGCTACCTCACCCTCGTGGCTCCGACAGCTAATCTGGGCCACTGTGGTCCTGTCTCTGTACACATTCATTTACCCTGCTCAGCCCCACAAGTGGCTTCTTGACTGAATTATTCAGGATGGGGAGAGGTGTGGTATAGTGGTATGAAGAATGTCCTAGAAAGCTAACTGTAGCAACTGCAGAGAGCAGCTGTCGCAGGGCAGGGCCGGCTATGGGAGCCTGGTAGGGCCATGGCAGTGGCCAGGGCAGGGCACACAGAGGTGGCAAGGCTGGGGTGTCTGGGCTTGTAGGGCACAGAGTGGCAGGGTCAGGGTGAGGGACCCAGCCCTGTCTTCTGAGCTGGGCATCTGAAGCGCAGGTAGAGAAAGTCCTGCCAGTGAGAGAGCAGCATTAAAGCAGATGGTAGAATGAGATCTCTATGGCTAAGATGGAGGAGAGAGGAGAGCAGGAAGGGTCTGCACTACACAGCAGGAGGTGGCATGTCACAGGTTGTAGGAAGCCTTAGTGATGTTTGAGCTGTGATGAAACTTTGGTCTGTTGCTGTTGCTGACCCTGTTTTGGTCAGGGCACGGTCAGCTTGTATGTCTGCTTAAGTATTTCCAGTAGCTGGTAGACATTGTTCACTGGACAGTTTAGGTATTTTCTCTTATATTAAAAGCTGGAAATCTGCCTGTTAAATTCCCTTCCTTGGTGTCAGGCAGCAGAGTGCTTGGTCATCATTTCCTACCTGGCGTCTTACTCTGCCAGAGATCGCTTATCTTGCCATTTGATTTCTCCGCTTAAAACTCTTCATCAGTCACCTGCTGCCGCAGAGTCCAGGTCTAGGCCCTTTAGCCCATCCACGCTGCACTTGAGGGGCCTGCTCAGGGCTCCAGGTGGAGGCACCCCCGCCTCTACGTGCTGGGTGTTAGGGCAGTGGAGAGGCTCTGCATCTGTCACATGGTATGTATGATGTGTGGATTTCCTCACAGCCTTTCCTTTCCAGCCTTTTTTTAAAAAATGTGAACTACTGTAAAACTTCATCAGTTGCCTGGTGTATATTAGACACATTTTAAACCTAATCAGAGGACTTACCATTTATTCCAGTTAAGCAGTGTGAGTTGTGACCCAACATTCTGGGGGGTGGGGGTTGCTGCAGGCCTGGGGCGCGGTGTGTTTGCAGAGACACAGCAGAGTGGCTGTCCTGTGCTGGGCTGGCCTCGTCGGTCACATGCACAGCAGTGGGGCAGGGTGAGGCCTGATGTGGCCCAGTGCTGGTTGGGTGCTGTGTCAGTCTGGATGGTGCCTTGGGGGCTCCCAGGGAGGGAGGGAGTCAGCTTGTCCCTGGGTAGGTGGGCTGTGTGGCTGAGCCACCCCACTGCACTCAGCCCGCAGGCCGACTTACAGTGCTGTGCTTCCCTCCAGCTGCTTAGTCAGGAGACGGTGATGAAGTTTGTGCCAAGGTACAGCCTTGTTCTGGAGCTCAGCGACAGCGGTGCCTTCCGGAGAAGCCTGCACGACCCAGATGGGCTGGTGGCCACTTACGTCAGTGAAGTGCATGAGCATGACGGGCATCTTTACCTGGGCTCCTTCAGGTCCCCCTTCCTCTGCAGACTCAGCCTGCAGTCGGTGTAGCTGGCCTTGGGGGCTGCCCCTGCTGCCCTGCTGGGAGGCCTCACACTGGGCACCAGGCCTGGTCTGGGAGGGCCATGGACACAGCTGTGGAGCATGTGTCCCCATGTACCAGGCCCTCAGAGATGTTGCGGGAGCGGCTGCTGCAACCCCCAAGGATTGGGGCACCCTTCACTTGGGCCTACCTTTGCGTTTAGAGGGGACATAACATTATCTTCCTGCTGCCAGGAAGATAAATTCACTTAAAGCCATTTTCTCTCAACAACAACAAAAAAGAAAGAATAAAACAGCTTTCTAAGTAGGGTGGTTCTTTAGGATGCAGGAGACTTCCTGTACTCTGTGGGACTCTGTGTTGGGTGGAGGGAGCAACTCGCCTGGTGCACTGCCTGGGACAGGGGTGCTCCTGACTGCCATGCTGGTGTGTGTCTGCTGTAAAGAGGGTGACGCCTTTCTCTGCAGAGGCTCGAGAGTGTTGAGCCAGCCAGTGGGAGCTGTGCAAGCTGAGACTTAGGACTGGGTCCTAAGGGTTGTGTGGGACTCAGTTCTTAAGTCCCTGGGTGCTCCCTCTGCAGTGAGAAGGGAAGGCATGTGGGTTCCTGTGGCTGAGAGAGGACCCACTGGGTTTCTTTCTGTGAGTACCCACCATGCTGGAGTTGAGTGGCCTAGTGACTCAGCCCGTTTCCCAGGGGTGACCCAAGAGCGTCCTGTTTACAACCCTGTTGGTCCCTCTGGACCCACAAAGGTGAGCAGTGCATATGTCCAAGTGCTGAGAGCTGCTGTGTGTCTTCACGGGTACATCTACACACTGGTCATAATTTTGATAATAAATACAAATAAATTGATTTCTGGTGATTAACCTTTTTGATGGTGTGGTCTGTGAGTTCCTTCTCTGCTTTAATTATGTTAGCAGTGACTGAAACTTAATTTCATCAGGTATTGACATGAAGATTGTCTTGGTGAGGATGTTTTAGGGCCAAAGAGTCCATGAACTAGCTGAGGAAAGGAAGCTGTGGGAGCTCCTGCAGCTGCCCTTGGGAGCAATCCACCTGCCTTCCTGTGTGTCCCTTCCTGGGCAAGCTGGCTGCAACGCTGCCCTCCTGTCCTCCAGCCTACAGAATTGGCCTAACACCTGTTCCTTTCTTTCCTGGGTATTTATGAGCATACTCTAAAGATTGTGTCTCTGCAAGTGTTTGGAATAACTTGACAGGGACAATATTTTAAATAGGTAATGATAAAAAAAAAAAACACAGAAAAAATCAGGTTAATAAGTAATGATTAAAAAACTCATCAAGGAGTAGGGTGCCAGCCCCATATACTAGAGGTGGCAGGTTCAAACCTGGCCATGGCCAAAAACTGCACACACACACAAAAAAAACCCTCAGAGAAAATTGATAGCTGTGGTAAAGTTGGGACTACTTCTGTTGTGGACCTAGCTGGCCTTTTATCCCTTTGCCCTCCCCTTCCCCGCATGGGGGAGAAGAGAGTCAGGAGTCTGCTGAAGCTGGTTAATCTTGGTTAAACCATGTCCCCCTCTCTTGGGCTGGACTCATGAGGGGAGCTGCAGTGGGACAGAGGCACAGACTGGCTTCTGCGTCATTGACACAGCCCGTTTTGTGTCAGCTGAACAACTGTCGATGCTGTTTTTATAACATTATAGGGAAGAAAATTGGTAGTAATTATAAATACTTTTTATAATAATAGCAAATGCTATACCTCTATATCAGGGGTACAGGAATAATAAGGTAGTCGCCAGTCATTATGTCCTAAATAATTTAAATGAGCTGGGCCTATGAGTAGCCTTGTTGATGCTTTAATGAGAATAGAGCGCTTTAGTTTTAGTGCTTAATTTTCACGGATGCAAAGAAGCTGGTAAACTGTTTTTCACAGCTTTCAACAAAGGGGTCCTGATTTTGACTCAGATATTGATTTTCTGTCCCCAAGTGTCATTTCCTGTTTTTTTTTTTAATCTGGTATAATTTGACATGGGAGGTTTGAAATACAGTTGTCTTACTAGGTTTAAAATGTGAGAAGTGTCATGCTCTTCAGGTTAATCAGGTGATTGTGCTCTGTTATCTGTTTGAAACTTCATCAGGACTCACTGCCTTTGACAGGACCGAGGTCCTGTCTGGAGATTTATTACCATGTGCACTTGCAGAGTGGCCTGTGGCTTTGACAGTGGCTTGTGTGCTCTCTTTGTGATTCACAGAGCTGGAGCGCATTGCACAAATAGGGACTGAGGCTCAGGGGGGTACAGAGCCTACCCTGACTCCTGGTGATGTGACCAAGGGTGCAGGTGGGCTGGCAGGAGACAGGTGACACTTGGCACCTGGCCCAGCCTGGGCCCTGAACTTGGCTGCCTAGCAGGGGCTTCGGGGGCCTGGGTCTAGTGTGTGCTGAAGCCTCACAGGCAGTCTCCTCTGGGAGACTGCTGGAGCCTGAGGTTGAGGGACCACACAGCCAGCCAGCTTCTGTGCTGGACAGTTGGCTACAGTTGTGAGATGGGAATCTCTGCCCCTGAGTGCTGTGTTGAACTGGGTACAGGTTAGTGTTCAGGCCTAGGAGTGTTGCCACATTTACTTTCTCTCACTCTCTCTCTGCAGAGATATATATGCAGCTGCTGTCCCCAACCCTGGGCCATGGACTGGTACTGGTCTGTGGCCTGTTATGTCCTGGGCCAGGCAGCCGGAGGTGGGGTGGGGGCAAGCAGGTGTTGGGGGGAAAGTGACAGATGAGGGGATAGAGCAGGTTAGGATCTAGGGCCCCCTCTCCCTTCCCAGGTGGAGCAGTGGAGGTTAGCTGGGTTCTCCTGCTGATGGCATCCTGCCTGGCCAGTGTGCACAGGGCCTGTGGGTGTTCACTCTCTATGCAGAGAGGAGCCAGGCCTGGCCAGAGGTGGCCTTGCACTCTGGTCTCACTTAACTGTGAGTGTGCCACATGACTTTATCTCCCTGCATCTGCAGGCCTGCAGCCCTGGCCTCCTCTCTGGCTCTGCAAAGGCCACACTTATAAACCTGTAGGGAGAGCCCAGGCTGAGGCCCTGAATGTGAAGCTCCCTGCCCTGCTTGGTGGGGACAGGCTGTCTGTCTTTGGCTGCTCCACTCATCAGCGTGTGCTGACTGAGAGACAGTCACTGACAGAGCTGAGGGAAGTAATGTCAGCTCACCAGCCAGCCTGCGACCCTCACCTCACTCTTCTGACCATACCGTCAAAGGTAAAGCATATAGCTGTCACTTGGCACGATCAGCTCTTTATGCACAGCTTTATTTGTCCACAGAAGGTCAAGGTGAAGTAGCAGACCGGCCTCCCTACCCAGGAGCACTGTGACAACTACTTGGACCAAGAGATGGAGCCCTGGGCCCCTATGAGTGCCCTGGGACCAGTGGGGATAGGGCCCCTGACTCCAGCACTTCGGTCCAGATGCTGAACCTGGGTGCACGCAGCAGTAAAATGAGTTAGTTTTAGAAGAAAATGCAACGTGACATTCGTCTGGCTGTGAGGCATAGTCACCTCTTGTTCCTAGCACTCAGGATGGCCCAGAGCGCTGGATGCAGCTGTTGAAGAGCGGAGGTCAGTGACAGCGGAGAACTGGCACCTGGAAACTTTGCAGCCAGGGGATGACCCAGACTTCAGAGTAGCAGCTCAGAGTCTGCAACAAAGAGGGGCACACCTGAGAATCCCGGCACAGCTTAACCCTGCCTGGGCTATCCTCCCCTTGCCTCCAGTTTTATTTTGAAAATTTAAAAATCTACAAAAAATTGAAAGAATGATTTAAGATTATGTTTATCATTGTTAAATGTTGCTACATTTACTTTCTCTTGCTCTCTCTGCAGAGATATATATGTAGCTGCTATCCCCAACCCTGAGCCATGGACTAGTACTGGTCTATGGCCTGTTAGAAACTGGGCTGGGCAGCAGGGGGGGGGGGCAAGCAGGTATTTGGGGGGAAGTGACAGATGGGGGATAGAGCAGGTAGGGGAAGGAACAGGTGGGGAGAGGAGCAGGTAGGGGTATTTACAGCTGCTCCCCCAAAGCTCTGCCTCCTGTCAGACTCACAGGAGTGGGACTGTACTGCAGATTGCCCGTGGGAGGGATGTAGGTTGCTCCTCAGGAGAATCTAATGCCCCCTCCCCACACCCTCACCCCCATCCATGGAAAAATTGTCTTTCATGAAACCAGAGCTGGGTACCAAAAAGGTGGAGGACTGCTGGTATATGTTGTGAACATAATAGTTTCTGAGTTACTTGATAGTCTTTCTTGCTCTAACCTCCCTGACCCCACCCAGGGCTCCCTCTGGAGCTGTGCTTCTTAGCGGGTGGGGTGGTCTGAGGGCCTCTGCTTTACCAGCTTCAAGGTGTGGTTGGTTTGGAAGTCGCAGTTGTCCAGACTGGGGTGCATGTTCTTCTTGCAGATGGTTCTGCTGATTTCTACCTCAAGCATGTACTTCAGGCCTTTCACTATCTGGAAGGAGCACAGGGACAGGGTCATGAGTTTGGAGCACAGAATGGAAGGGGGTGGGCTCCCCCACTAGCAGGAGGACCTTAACACACATCATGGGAAGTGCCCGAGAAGAGTGAGAGGAGGGGGTGAGGAGCACTTGGGCCTTATAGAAAGAAGGGCCTGGGAGGAAGGTGGGCTGGGCTGGAGACCCCTCTTTCTCCCCCTACTCCAGCCTGCTCCCATCAGGGGTGTGAGGCAGGCTTTGTGTTAGACTCTAGGATGGCTTGCCCAGCCTCCAGACCTGCAGTAAAGACCTGCTCCCTCCCTCCTGTGCCACGGGACCCCATCCCCCCACGAGCCTGCTGTGTTTCACAGGGCAGAGACCTGGTTCATTCTCGTTTGTGGTTTTAGAGGAGTCCAAGAAAAATGCCTCAATTTTTAGTCTTAGCGCCACAAAATACCAAGTGAAATAAAGTTGTCCCCAACATCACCAAGAGAAAGAAGGACAATGTCCCACCCCTCTTTCTCGGACCTTGGACAGTTGGGCCCAAAGATCACCCTGGCCTCCTGGAGGAGGTTGTGCCTCCCCCAGGGAGGACCCACAGCCCCTGGGTTCACACCACTGCCACCTCCACAGCCTTTCTCACACAAAAGCAGGTTGCTTTTTAAAAAGTTGGAAATTGCCAAAAAGAATAAAGAAGTTTGTAAAACATCACCCCCATCCTGTGACCCAGGGTAGCCATGAATCCCTGAGCAGGGCTACTTCTGCTCCCTCCAGGCAGCAGCTCTGGGGCATGGGCGCTGTCCAATAGCTGGCCACATTAGCAAGGGCTGCAGGCTTCCCTGTGGCCAGCAGATGGCAGAGACCCGGGCAGCCCTCCTGATGGCATCTCTCACTGTCGTCCATGCAGACCACATGCTGGGCCATGGGAAGGTGAGGCTGGAGACGGGGCAGGTGTGAGTCAGGTGTGGCCTGGGCAGAGTACTAGGACATGGAAGGACACAGCCATGTTTCGGGCCTGCCATGCAGGTGGGAAGTGAGGCCTGGCAGGGGGCCCGAGGTGCTGGAGGCAGCTCTGCCTGGCAGTGCAGTGGCCTGTTCCTTGTGACAGTGCCTTTGTCACTTTCCTGCCCCTAGGACCCTAGCCACCCACTCTCATGCTCCTGGGCTCTGGGCTGGGGCCTGGCGATGGCCCAGAAGCGACATTTGTGCCAGGGCTTGGTACCACTGTCAGCTCCTGGCCTGGTGGGTGTTCTAGACTGCAGGGGGGCGGGGTCACTGCAGCTCACCTTCCCGGCCGCTGGACCAGCACCCAGCCCCTCACCTGGACCAGAGCCCTCCTGATGTGGGACTCCTTGAACAGGAACATGTCGTTGGTGCAGTTGTTGAATTTTTCAACGCTGTGCCTGGCTGCTTTGAGGAC